GAGGCCTGGTCTGAAGCCAAGCTCTGTTGCCCGTGAATGGTGGTAGCCTTTGGCAAGTTATGCTTTCTTCTATGACCTTTAGCTTCCTCATCCATAAAATGGGAATAAGTGTCCTTTTTACCTCACAGAGTTGTCCTGAAGATTAAATGGAGTGTTTTATAACTGTCAAGTCATACATAAATATAAGCTGTTATCAAATGATAATATATATAATATGTAATATAATATATATAATATGTAAGATTATGTATCATATATAGTTATGTTCAAAAGTAATAATAGTACTAATATTTAATAATAATAATAATAGTACTAATAAGTAGTAATAATAACTAACATATATATAAGGCTCTAAGCTTTGCAGGGCAGTTAGGTAGTACAGTGGATAGAGTGCTGGACCTGGAGTCAGAAAGATTCATATTCTTGAGCAAAAATCTGGCCTCAAACACTTACTAGCTGTGTAATCCTGGGCAAGTCACTTAACCCTGTCATTTCCTCATCTGTAAAATGAGCTGGAGAAGGAAATGGTAAACCACTTCAGTATCTTTGCCAAGAAAACCCCAAATAGGGTCAATGAAGAATCAGACGTGACTGGAGTGACTGTTAAACTCTGCAACATGATTACATGTACTATATCATCTGAGAAAGCAAAATGTCAACTATTATAATTATTATAAACTTTTAGTGCCAGACTTTACCTAGCCCAATTTTCTCATTTTATAACTGATGAAACTGATGCCCATGATGGAGAAATGTCTTACCCAAGGCCACATAGCTAGTTAGTGGCAGAACTTAAGTCTCCTTAATCCCAGCACTTTCTATGAATTCCATGGTGGTGGTGGTGGCAGCAGCAGCAGCAACAGCATCATCATCATCATCATTCCAAATGCATGTCTACCTGGTTGAATACTTTATTCTATCTATGACCAATACGACTGGCATTTGAATTCATATTAATTTCAATGTGAAATTATTTCCCATTTGAGCAAAAAGTAACATTTGGCTAGATTAAAATCTTACCAAAATCTGATGAAACATCTTTTTTTTTTTGTTTTGTTTTTGTTTTTGGTGAGGCAATTGGGGTTAAGTGACTTGCCCAGAGTCACACGGCTAGTAAGTGTTATGTGTCTGAGGCCATATTTGAACTCAAGTCCTCCTGACTCTAGGGCCGGTGTTCTGATGAAACACTTTTTAAAAATGAAGACCGAGGGCCACAAATACATTTTAGCACTTTATTGTAAAGGACATTCTGTCCAATTATACCTTACCGACAAGAACATTTACTCAGATAAATGTTCACCTTTTTTATTAATCCAACCACAGTTTGCAAATGTCCTACTTGCTTCATGATTTCTTATTTTTAATAACAAAAAATAAGTAAACAGATAAAGGACAATGATCATGAGGAAAATAGAATTCAGAAGGTCTTTGAGTAGTCTTTGACAGGCATCTTTGTGGAAGCCTTTGGGAAGACTCAGTGTCATGCAACAGCTTTCTGAGAAACCAATCTAGGTCAATATTCACTTCAAGATTCTGGGAACCACAAGTTTCTCTCAGTTCTTTCCCTTCCCAAAATACACTGGAATCTGACTACGGAGAGGAGTTTGTTATGGAGAGGAATTCGGTATAAGGTAGATTGTCTTGGACTCCATCCAAGAGGGTTTAGTTACTGAAAGTACCTCATTATTAGGTGGTCTCACCAATAAGGTGATCTACTGGCATAAACCCCATGGATGTTATAACAAGGCTCCATTGTAGTTAACACAGGAAGCCAAACAGCTAATGGTTCTATCAAAAGAAATCTTAAGAAGCAAATTTTTTTGTAGATAGAGAAAAATCTTATGTGATAAAGGATCATGTGCCTGAATCCTTTGCCTAAATATCCATTCCCCATAGCACTGTTCTTCATTGGTTTTCTGACTGTTCAGCTCTCTTTTGATTCACATTTTGGGATCCTTTTAAGGACTTATCTTCTGATAGTGCTTTCCTATAGAGACATACATTTAACCACACTTAGTAAATTATCATAGTTAAATATGATTAGAGGACAGGAAATAAAAAGCAGAAATTCATGCAGGTTTAGGTAAACTTTCTGCTTAAACAAAAGATATTTGAAGTAGCTGGGTGGCTGAACAGAACTGGAAAACAAAAGTGTAGTAATCAAGTATAAGAAGAAAGCCATCACTCCGATGGATTAAATGGGCAAAAGACAAAATAACTTTTTTAAGTCATCACATACTAAACAATTTCAGCTTGATGAAATATCTTTATAACATTTTCTCAAAGACTAAATATTTTGAGTGTGTTTTATTGCAGGAAAATACCACGTAAGAACCATGCTGTTAGAGAGGCCTTATAATAATAATAATGTCTTATGAATTAATGGGCAAGTGTAGAATAAAATTCTTCAGGAAGATTTAAAAATAAAGCTTCATTCTGATGACAATTAAAAACAACAAACAAACCAACCCATGATAATCAAATATATTCAGTAGGAACAAAAGGAAAAGAGCAGTTATTTATTTTAGACACACATCCTAAGAAATTTGGTATAATATTTTACCCTAAGATTACAATACTAAGACATCTAACCTTTACTCTACAATTGTACCTTCCTTCCATGAATGAAGCCCTTTCTCCAGTGGACAGCTTTCCGAGTTCTTTGTCTGTATGTTCTAAATACTTTCAGGCCTTGAATAAATTCAGGATCAGATAGTTACTTTACATATAATGAGTATATAGAGTGCAAGTTATCTGAAAAACAACTATTTTATCTTATATATACACCCTATATCACTCTAAAATAAATTAGCCTGTCTTACAATGGCTATAATTTGCATGTACTTTACAAAGCAATTAGTTATCCTCAATATAAGCTACTCTTTCTATTACTATAAGTTAGGCAGCATTTGCTTTCTTAGTGCTATTAAAAGAGTAAAAGAACACCCTTTTCTAGTATACTTGGTTAACTGCTTTATTTCAACCAGTGAATTTTTCAGTCTTAATCTTTCAACTCTATAGAAGATGACAAGAAGGATCCTCAGGACCATGCAAAATAAGGCCTATGTTCACCAGTATAAACTGTATATCCCTGATAACAATGCTTATATAAGATATTGTTATCTATGTGTAACATACATGTAAAATAACAATATCTTATTTAAGCATTTGGGGACCTAAAAATTGTACCTCATACTACAAAAACTAACTTTCCCATCCCCTATCTCTCCCCCGCTCCCCCCCCCTCGCCAGCCAAGGGCAGCAACCTAAACAGTAAAAATAGCTCCAAGAGCTATCATGATAAAGGAGTTCCATGGTTTACCAACATTTGGAATTTTTTTGTTAATCACATTTCACAAAAACCATTACAACCTGCGAGATTGTAGAGCAATGAATAATACATAAGGACCAAGTGAGATTCATGACTGCTGCTTTTATTTGGCATGGAACACCAAATAACAGGCTGGTTATTAAGAAATAGATGCAGGTCTTTAAGCAAAGCCAGGATAATCAGAGATCTAGATCTGTGCTGGAATTTGTCCAATCCACTCATTTTACAGATGAAGGTAAGACCTAGAGATGATAGGTAACTAGCTGAAGGTAACTGACACATAGGTATTATGTAGCAGAACTGGGATTTGGACTTAGGAACTGAGACTTTCAAATTTAGTGCTCTTTCCACTGTAAAAAGTCTATTTCACTTTTCCCAATATTTATTGTTACAGTTGCATGCAAGTCAAATTCTTGTTATTTAAATCATGTTTTAAATGTTCACTTTTAAAGGAACACTGTGTAATTCTATTTGAGAGTTGAGAGTCCTTTAGAATGGCAAATAATCTGAGAATAATTAAGCAGTCTTCAAAGTCCATATATTTCATATACTAAGTTTTAGATAAGTGAGGGCATGCAATCAGTAGGAAGGCCTCTTCCAAGTCTAAGTTCTAGGACTCTATGAATGGTGATGACATTTTTACAAGCATGCTACAAATGCCCTCACCATGATCTCCATGCAGCATGGGGCAGTACAAGAACACTGGACTCAGTCAGGAGGCTTGGGTTCTCATCCCAGCTCAGCTAGGAACTGACCCTGGATCATATCCCTGGGCCTTTCTTCCTCTGTAAGGTGAAGAGTTGCCACTAGTTGACTTTCAGAGTCCCTTCTTTCTCTAATTTCTATGACTTAATGATCACTATAAGGCATTGCTACAAAGCAATGTGACTGCTTTTCAATAAAGACACCTGCAATATACTTCCAAAAGAGTGATGTCACCTTAGGGGCCAGTACATACACTGGTTCTCAGAAGGCTGTCATTGCTCCAGAAGTAGTCAGAATTCCTCTTTTGGAACTGCCTTAATAGCCTATGGGAACACACATCTGAATATTCTCTAAAATGGAAAATTTTCATTTTGGGGGGAAACAGCCTCAAATCACTCAATCGTCTATTAAAGGAAATCAGTGATTAACTTTTTGCTTGGGGTCAAGAATGAGCACTGCTTATAACATAATGGAATTGATTTTGTGGATCTCATAAATCAGCTCCAAGGCAATTCCTAAACAGGAGATCCAAGTAAACTTTGAGCAAAGGCAGAATTATTGGGATAAAGGACAGCTTACCTTAGGGTCTGTTCTGACTGAGACAGGATTAATGTGTATTATAAGTCTGAGTATATTTGTTTTTTAAGAATCTGTCAAAATCCAATTTAAATTCATTCCTAGTAGAATATCAACAAAGTACTTTGTACCCAGCAAGCACTTGTGTCTGTTGAATTGAATATGACAGCTAGAAAAAACCCTAGAGATAACTAAGTTCAAATTCCTAATTTTACAAATGTGTGAAAAGGGCTTAAAGAGAAGTGACTTGTGCTTTAAGTTTTTCAAAGCTTAACATATATTAACTTATTCAGTAGAATGGAAAGGTTACAGGATTTTGAGTGAGTGGACCTGTGTTCAAATCTCATCTCTGCTATTTATTTCCTATATGACCTAGGCAAGTCACTTAACTTCTCTGTATCTCAGGGTCCTCAACTGTAAAATGATGGGATTAGATTAGGTCTGAGGATCCTTCCAGATCTAAAAATCATGATCCTATGATTACAAAAATTACTTTCAATCTATTGTTTACAGTCAATTACCAATGGTAAATAAAAGGAAAAGACAAGGTATCAAGAGGAATTATTTTGGGAATCCAAAACCTTTAACTGGTGAACAATAAAACTAAATCTCTTTGAACTGTGTTTAAAGTTGTTATGTATAACTTCCCATTTCTTGATAAGAAATCTACTGGTTTCTTGCTCTGTAAGATATCAGAAAACACAAACATAATCTGAAAGGCACTTTCAATTTCAACGATGAGAGGAAGAGTGACATGATATAGTATGGTGGGAAAAACAACAGTGGATTTGGAGCCAAAAGAACTGGGTCTGAATCCCAGCTCTGGTACTTAAAACTTGTGTGGTCTTGGGTTGATCACTTAAGGTCGCTAGTCCTCAGTTCCTTATCTTTAAAATGAGAGGGTCTAGACCAGATGTTCTTTAGGGTCCTGATACAATCTAAATTCTATGATAACTATCTATCCAATGAAAGAATACTTCCTATAAAAAAGTCAGTATGTTTTCAAAGTGATGATACAGCAAAGCATATTTTTCAATAACTGTTTTTGATGAGGAATAAATGTTCATTCACAGACGTTTTTGGACTATATTTTTGGACTACTGGAAATGAGGGCAGCAATAAATAACAGGCTCGACGTTGATGTGGCCACAAGGGGGCACATTTTAATTGTACTCTTATCTTTCGGCTCATTTTTCAGCCTGCCTGAACATGTCAGGGTTGGTCGTTTGAAGCTTGATGTGACACTATAAAAGTTTGTTTACAAATTCTACTGGTTTCAGCTTATCATGCAAAGAGGGTAAAATAAGTTTTAATTAAAAATACATGCATTACCTTAACTGCTATTTTAAATTTATCACAAGCTGGCAAAAGAATCTGATATGAACTTTAAAGAGAGAAGCTGATTAAGGGCATACCAGAGGACTATTACGTGGTGTGTGGTAAAATTAACAAGTGAATCAGGACTGACATCCCCAAAAGAGGTAATCTCTGAACTTTGTATGTAAATATGAAATAAGAGAAGGAGGGGATTACAAGATTTCAGTGCTAAAGTAAAATTGGAGGCAGGCTAAGAAAACCCACATATTCTTTACCATGTTAAATGTGGAATCTGTTTTGACAAGAAAGATTTTCTAGAAGAAACTATTTTTGTGTGTATCACCTCAAAAAACAAACTGGAAAATAGCATAATATGCCCTTTCAACTAGAAAATAAGAGTTTATAAAATCAGGTGCCATTTTAAACAGTGATTAAAAACTTAGCTTGAAAATGAGGCTGCCTGCTGTTTTTTGGAAGCATCTATATCATTTATCAGAGGTAGAGCAATCATTTAAACTGAAGTTTGGTCCAGAAACCTTAAACAGCATGGTGGTCATGTGCTGATGTTACCTATGGTATCCATTTCCTGAGTTCTTTCCAGCTCATGTTCATGTATATTAGCTGCCTTTACATTATTACTAATGTTGTCAACTTCATGTTCTTCATTTTGCATGATTCTATTCAACCTCATGTCTGTGTGATCTGAACCCATTCCTTTGGCACATCCAATTTCCAAAAGATTTTTTGCTATAATGTAATCTGAATTTTCAGTCTTCTGATTTATTCCACCAGTTTCAAGTAGCTCTTCATTTTCTTCTACATCTGATTCTATAGCATCATAAAGTTCCGGTGTGAAATAGACAGATTCATCTTCTTCTGTTGTTTCAATATCTACATTCACATTGGAAAATTCAGCTTCTCCACATACAGGACTAAGATCAATGTCTCGATCCAGGGCTTCTTCAGGGTACAGAAGCTGTTCAGCAGGATCTTTTTTACTAACAGCATTGGTCCTTTTAATTGATGAAGAAATGGTTTCTGACTGTGGGCCTGGGCCAAATGGTATGTTTCCTGACAGGGACGAAGACTGGCCTCTATTGGTGAGAGACAGACCGACTGTACTTTCCCTCTTCTCCTTTCTGGAAGGGACAATATTGATGTCATGGTTCTCTGAAAATGTGTGCACAAGTACGGAAGTCAGTGACTTAGGGGTAAAATCTCTCTTCACAGAGTCAGATTTGGGACAGCTATTGCTTTCTATTTGTTTACTGAAGATTGGACTTGTGGATCTTGATATTAAAAAATTTTCCCTCTTTATTTTCTGTGGAGAATATTCCAACAACAATGAATCATCTGTGAACATTAAGGGAAAAAAAGATCATTTTAATTTCTTCCCTCTGCTTATCCTGACCATTACTATAGTAAGATGATCACATTTTATAAATAAACAATTAAAAGCTACATAGTAAAGGTAGAATCAAAGGCAGATAACATTAAAGACCAGCTATTTATCCTACAGAGGTCCAGAGAAAGGACGTGTCCTGTCTAATTTCACCGTTTATCACTGTAAGAGTCAGGGCTGTCTCCTGACTGGCAATCCAGTGTTTTCTATTTAGGATAGAAGTAAAATATATGAAATAAATATCCTAATTTACTAAGTTTAGTGAGTAGGCTATATTAACAACAATAAAGATTATACAAATAACTATAATACAAGGCAGAATTTGGAATGTCCAAAGCAGAGGTAAATAGAATCATAAAATTTAAGCTAGAAAGCACCTTAAAGATGATTTAGCACAACCCTTTCACTTTCCAGATTAGGAAACAGACGCTCAGAGGCTAGATGACATTTCCAAGGTCATATGGATAGTAAGTGGCAAAGCTGAGATTTAAATCTAGGTCCTATGACTACAAACTTCCCATATGCCACACTGTTCACCACATATAGTGTCATGAGAAGTGTGAAGAGGGAAAAGATCAGGGAAAGCTTCAAGGAGGAGGAAAAATCCTAAAGGAAGAGAGGTGCTTCAACAGGCAGAGAGGGTGGGGAATAGGGAGAAGAAGCACTTCTCCATGTGGGAGGGTACAGAGTAAAGGCACAAAGACAGCAGAAGGCAGGTGGACAAACAGTATAGTTTGGCTGAAATACAGAATACATGAAGGGGAATGGTGTAAATTCAAGCTGGAAAAGCAGGTTGGAGCCAAATTGTAGAAGGCTTTGAATGTTGGGAAGGGTAATAAGCTTTATTTGGTAGGTGATAAGTAGCTTCTGAGGGTTTCTCAAAAGAGAGTTATGTGATCAGAGTAGTGCAGTAGGAAGATTACTTGGGTCCGGTGGAAAGGATGGATAAGAGACCGGTCAGCAGGCTACTGCTACAGTCTAGGAAAGGCGTGATGAGGGCCCAAAATGGGATAGTTGTAGTGGCAATGAAAAGGAAGGACAGGTGGGAAGGACTCGGCAATACCAGTTACAGAAAATGGTTGCCATGAGAAGTCCCGTCGTTTTTCTGACTCACCGTCTGTAAGGCAGGACTTTTGGCAAAGGGGATGAATCACAACTCTGAATCCGTGCATCACGCATCTCAGAGCCGGTAGGGATCTCAGTGGCTATCTAGTTTAGCCTATATCCAGAACTGAATCCTCCCCACCTTCCACTCCCCCAGACCATACTCCACAAGCAGTCATTCAGCCTTTGTCTGATGACCTCTAACGAAGGAGTACCCACTACCTCCTTTGGCAGGCCACTCCACTTTTGGGTAACTCTAATTCCTAGGAAGTTTTTTCCTGATATCAAGCCTAAATTTGTTTCTTTGCAACATCTACCTCTTGTCCCTGGTTCTGAACTCTGGGATCGAATGGAGTAAGTCCAATCCCTTTTCCACATGAGAGCCCTTGAGATACTGAAGATAGCTCTCAAATTCTCTCTGAGTCTTCTCTCTCCAGGTTAAGCATCTCCAGTGCCTTCAATGGATTCTTACATAATAAGGGCACTCAAGGCCCTTTACTCTCCTGGTTACCCTCCTCTAAACACTCTCTAGTTTATCTAATATCCTTCCTACATTGTGACACTGAGAACTGAACATAATACTCCAGTTATGGTCTAACCAGAGCACAGGACAATGAAATGATCATCTCTTTACTCCTAGAAGCTATGAGGCCCTAGATCACATTTGTTTTCTTGGCTGTCATTTTACAATAATGATTCAAAATAAACTTGCACTCCATTAAAATCCTTGAATCATTTTTAGATAAGCTGTTGTCTAATCAGCCCCTCCTTTATTAAGATGAAATAGATGTTTCTCTTTAGAATTAGCAATGTCCTAGAGTGTGGAAAGACTAATGGACTAGGGGTCAGAAGATGTGTGACCTTAAGGCACAATCTCTCAGGGCCTCAGTTTCTTGATTTACAAAATGAAAGTGTTGGACTGGCTGACCTCCAAGCTCTAATGCTGTGATTCCCTGACACATACTTGTATTCCGGGCTGTGAGGATGTTACTTGGGTGACTGTGTATTTTGAGCTCCATAGCCATCACTGCAGAAGCCTGAAATTCCTGGACAAAAGGTTTCCTTTCATCTTCTTCAAGAACATTTGGTGATAGGTGAATTGTTGATTCTAATAAAGATGTTGAGGACTCATCCTTTGAACAGGCCACTTCTTGTGCAGACTTGTTACTACTTGGGGATGACACATCAATGACTTTTTGATGCTTTTTAGAAAATGCAGCCAAGGACTCCAATGCACTCTCAAAAGTTGCATGGTGCTTAATCTGTTGCCGAACCCATTTGCAAAGTCCTAGGAAAAAGCAAACCCAGAAAGAATAACCATGTTAAAACATCAAATTGTTTAGATGACTTGATTATACTTTCAGAAGAAACACAAAATGAACTTTTTGATTCTTTTAAAGTAGCATGTTTTGCTTTACAGGAGTTCAGAACGTTTTATTTCAGGAAAGAAAAACTATTACACAGACAAAGTTGCCTCTTATTATTTGGAGAAACTGGGGGTGGGAAGAGGGAGGAAGGAGACCAACAATGTCTCCCACACCAAGTAACTAAATTGAATTCATTATTATTATTGTTGTTGTTCAGGATAACTAACACTTACACAATGCTTTAATGTTTGAGAAACATTTTACATATACTACTTCATTTTATCTTTATTAAAACCCTGTAAGACAAGCGGTATTATGATCTTCATTGTATACACAAGGAAACTCAGGCTGGGAGAAATTGTGAATTATACAGGATTATACAGTTACTAAGTGTCTGAGCAGCATTTGAACTCAGGATTTGCTATCTCCAAGTTCAACATTATATCCATTGCAGCACTTATCCTATTCACAGAGATCAAATCAAGATTCCATATTTTCATTAGTTTCATCACTAATTTTCTTCCAAATACAACTGGATACCTTCACAGTTCTGTAGGAGTGTCAAAATTAACACTGCACCACCTAGCTGCCCCTAGCACAAAGTCAGCACTATATAAATGCTAGTATTAATATTATTATTATTATCACTGTATTGGCATTCCTGAGACATGAAAAGAAAACAAAGATGGTGTGACACAGTAGAAAAGTAAATCTCTAGTTCTGCCATAACTACTCTAAAAATCTATAATTTGGTCATCCGCTAGTGCAATCTGTGTTGCCTTGAGTAAATAATAACCTTTTAGCATCAGTTTCCTCATCTATGAAAGGCAGTGGGATTAGGGGATGTTGGATTAAATGACCTCTCAGGTCCCTGACAGCTCTCAATCTGTGCATGTATGACCCTTTGTACATCTGACAGTTTTTCAACAGGCTTTCGGTGTCTGAGAAAGGTAAAAAAAATACTCTCAGAAATAATATAAAATGATGCAATTCAATTTTCCTTATGATAAACCTAAGCCATATGCTAAAAATTTAAGTTGATCTTATATTTTGAATAAAGAAATCTGTAAGACTAAATTGGGAAGTTTCCTTTCTGTATCTTTTATGTTTTTATTTATAGAAAGAATAGCATTGTGGAGAAATTTTAAATTCTTCCAACTTAAATGCATTTGAAAATTATATAGTTGTTTCTTCAGTTCTAGCTTTCTGCAAGCAGAGCTGGTCTTCTGCCTTGTATAAAGCTCTTGTTTACTATTAGAAATATAAAGGAATCTGAGCTCCACCTGCTGATGAGATATTGGCATTTAACAGCTATTTATCTTTAGTTATCTATTTCTCAGCCTGAAATTAAAAGTGGTTACTTTTTAAAACATCATGGGCAACAACCTCATAAAAGAAATAAATTCAACATTAATACTGATAGTTAAATTTTTGTATCAATCTGAATGTTAATTAAAAATACTGTTGGTAGACCTGTAAGCCTGTCCAATCATATTGGAAAGCAATTAGAATTATGCTTTAAAAAAAAAGTGATTTGGATGTTCTTTGACCCAGACACTCCACAGCTAGGCATGTACCTCCAAGGAGGTCAAACAAAAATAAAAGCCTCTCATTTACCAAAATATTCATTGTAGCACTTTTGTGATAACGAAGAACTGGAAATAAAGTAGGTCTCCACTGATGGGGGACTGGCTGAACAAACTAATGAATTATTACTTTACTGTGAGAAGCAATGAATATGAAAAATTCAGAGAAAGATGTTAAGACTTCTTTAAACGGACACAGTTGAAGTAAGCAAAATGAGGAAAACACAACTATGACAATGTAAGCAAAAAGACTAATAAAATTAAATTGAAAGATGTGCAATTAAATGACCATACTTGGACCCATGGAAGAGCTGAGAAAAGGTACCTCCATCTCTTCCCTGCAGAGGTGGGGGACAGGACTATGGGGGTGGAATATTCTGTGCATACTATCAGATGAGGTCAATGTGCTGACTGATTATGTTGAACTTTTTCCCTTTTTCTTTTTCAAATCTTTGTTACAAGGGGAGGCACGGGTAGAGGATGTTATATTGGGAATTATACTAGAAATGGATTATATTTGGAAAGGGTTATATTTGAAAATGAATGATGTGAAAAGAAGTAACAATAAAATTTTTTTTAACATGCCATGATTGACGTTTGGAGGCAGCTAAATGGCACACTGTGTAGCATGCTGGGCCTGAAGTGAGGAAGATTCAACTTGGTGAGTTCAAATCCTGGCCTCAGACTAGCTTACTAGCTATAACCCTGGGCAAGTCACTTAACCCTGTTTGCCTCAGTTCCGTCATCTGGAAAATGAGCTGGAGAAGAAAATGGAAAGTCACTCCAGTATCTCTGCCAAGAAAACCCCAAATGGGGTCACAAAGAATCAGACATGACTGAAAAAAACAACTGAACTATGTGACTAAGGTTGGGCAGCTAGGTGGTGCAGTAAATAGAACATCAGGCCTGGGGTCAGGAAGATCTGAGTTCAAATCCAGCCTCAGACACTTACTAGTTGTGCAACCATGGGCACATCACTTAACCCTGTTCGCCTCAGTTTCCTCATATGCAAAATGAACTGGAGAGGGAAATTTGAATGTTTTCTGACCCAGACATTCCATAGCTAGGCATTTACCTCCAAGGAGGTCAAACAGAAATAAAAACCTCTTATTTACCAAAATATTCATTGTAGCACTTTTGTGCTACTCCAGTATCTTTGCCAAGAAAATGTAGAGTTGGACATGACTAGATGACTCAACAACAACGACGACAACTGTATAGGAAAAGCAAAATTTAAACCTACAGTTACAATGCCATATGTGAAATAAGCTCAAAACTAGGTATCCTGATGATATAGATTAAGTCTAAAGTAGAATGTTAAGCTTTAATGGCAATAAAAAAGGACAAAGTATTTCCCTCATTTCTTGCTTAAACTCAACTTGCATCTTCTCAGCATGAAGTTGAATGAGATTGTGTTGGTGACACACTGGGAAGATGAATTTAATAATGAACTAAAGCAAAAACGCAAGTATCTACTTTCTCTACTGCGTAGCTCTACTCTCATTCTTTCTCTCTCTCTCTCTCTTTTTTTTGGAGGCAATAGGAGTTAAGTGACTTGCCCAGGGTCACACAGCTAGTAAGTGTGAAGTGTTTGGTCTGAGGCCGGATTTGAACTCAGGTCCTCCTGACTCCAGGGCTAGTGCTCTATCCACTGGGCCACCTAGCTGCCCCTGTACAGCTCTACTCTCAAAAAAAAACCCTTGTCTTCCATTCAACTACATCCCTCCTCCTGGACACATATAGTACCTTTTTTCTTTTTAAAGTACAGTTACACCTCACTTAAGCAAAGGCCACTTTCTCAGCAACTTTATTGCCCAGAATGTACTGTAAATCACAGAAAAGGAGTACAAATCGTTGAGTAAATAAAATGTCACAGTTTGTTCCTGTGTACTTCATCCACAGACCCCTCAGCTCATCACTTGTTTTATACACAATTTTAACAGATCCTTTTATCTGTTTCCTATCCCATAAGCAGATTAGGCAAATTAGGAGGAGAAGGTGCTAGAAGCAAGTACACTATCAACAATAAGATGTAACAGCTGACAGCTTGACAGTACATAAGCACATACAAGAACTAAAAGAAATCAGAGCAGCCTGGGGTCATTTCATATAGCAGTTTTGCCCAGCACCTCTCAGCAACCTCAGAGGGCCTCCAGTATCCCAGCAAAGCATAATAATTGATGTTTACAATTGTGGTAGGAACTGTGTTTTTGTTTTTTTTTTTGTGAGGGCCCCAAGTATAAGACACTGGGGGCTATGGCAGGAGAGGGGCCTCTGAGGTTTCTGCCTTCATTCAATCCAGGTCTCTTTCCCTACTTTTCCCTTTGTCCTCTTCAATCTTACCCCCTTCCGCTCTGGATGCCCCGACCCATTGATGCCCTATCTAGGGCATGGCTTTGGGCTGGTAACTTGAGGGGGCTACTCAACAGGTTTTTTTACTTCCTGACTTAGAAGAGGCCAAGTCCAGGGAAGAATTGTTTCAGAGGTTATTCCTGAGCTCCAACTCTTCGAGGGGATCTTCTTCCTGGGTTCCTGACCTGGTGACTGTGTAGACTGAGGAGAATAGCATTTCTATATCCTTTTTAATTAGAAGTTGTATGCTTTTAATTGTTTGTGATTACTAAAGTTGTTTTTGTTGCATTTTATGGTCCATGAATGTGCCTCGTTGCATTTTAACCCTTGAGTCTAAATTACTGGACTGGCTGAGGTTAGGCTTGATCCAGAATAACAATTATGACCCTGACTCACTAAAAAAAAGGTTAAATTATGTTTAGTATATTGTGTTTAAGAAGGAAGCAAAGTATGTAATCTATCTGAGAAACATTTCCATAAAAAATACTTAAAATAGAAAATGTTTTGTCACTTAAAGAAGCAAGGCTCAGTTAGAGGGAAAGCTGGGACCTATCTGGGACCTATCAATCCCCTATAAGTTTATCATATTGGGGCAGCTAGGTGGCGCAGTGGATACAGCACCGGCCCTGGAGTCAGGAGGACCAGAGTTCAAATCTGGCCTCAGACACATAACACTCATTGGCTGTGTGACTTTGGACAAGTCACTTAACCCCAATGGCCTCATATAGAAAGGAAGGAAGGAACGAAGGAAAGAAAGAAAGAAATTAAGTTTATCATATCTCAGATCCTGAAAAGCTCTAAAGAGATGACCTGATTTAAGGTATGCTGACAAGTAAGATGTTTTCAAACAAAGATGTTTTCAGAAATAGATGATGTTTAAAAGACGGGGTTTTCTTTTTCTTTTTCATGGAAAACATATTTCCATATTAGCCATGCTACAAAAAAAAAAAAAACAAAAAGCAAGAAACATAATGTAACAGAAAAGAGCATGCTTTAATCTGCACTCACAGTTCATCAGTTCTCTCTCTGGAGGTGGATAAAAGTTTTCATTATGGATCCTTTGGAACTGTCTTTGATCATTGTCTTGATCAGAATAGTTAAGAATTTCAAAGTTGATTATTTTTACAAGATTGCTGTTATTATATAAAATGTTTTCCTGTTTGCTTGCTTCACTTTGCATCAGTTAATATAAATCTTCCCAAGTTTTTCTAAAACCATCCTGCTCTTCATTTCTTATAACATAATAGTATTCCATTATAATCATATGCCACAATTTGTTTGGCCATTCCTCAATTTATGGGCATTCCCTCAATTTCCAATTTTTTGCCACCACAAAGGAGATGCCATAAACATTTTTGTACATATAGGACCCTTTCCCTTTTCTTTGTTCTTTTTGGGATACAGACCTAGTGGTAGTATTGTTGGGTCAAACAGCATGCAACGTTTTATAGCCCTTTGGGCATAGTTCCAAATTGTTCTCCAGAATGATTGGACCAGTTCACAACTCCATGAACAGTGTATTAGTGTCCTTATTTTTCCACAACCCTTTATCCTTTTATCATTTTCCTTTTCTGTCATGTTGGTCAATCTGATCGGTGTGAAGTGCTAACTCAGAGTTGTTTTAATTTGCATTTCTCTAATCAAAAGTGATTTAAAGCATTTTTTATGTAACTATTGAAAGCTTTAATTTCTTCTTCAGAAAACTGCCTGCTCATATCCTTTTATCATTTGTCAACTGGGGAATGGCTCTTATTTTTATAAATTTGGCTCAGTTTCATATATTTTTGAGAAATGAGACCTTTATCAGAGAAACTTGCTGTATATTCCCCCCTTCCCCAGTTTTTTGATTTCCTTCTAGTTCTGGCTGCATTAGTTTTGTTTGTGCAAAACCCTTTAAATTTCATATAATTTATCTATTTTATTTCATGTGATCCTCTCTATCTTTTGTTTAGGCATAAACTCTTCCTTTATTCATAGATCTTACAGGCAAAATTTTCTATTCTCCTCTAATTTGCTTATAATATCAACCTTCATGAAAAGACTGGATTTTAAAACAAAATAAACATTTTCATATTTGATCTGGGTATTCCAACCTCAAGAAATGTTTCTTTAAATAGACACCATTAAATAACAAAGGTTATTATTAATTCCATTATACTGTTAACTAAGCATTTTACCAGATATATATCGATCTGGGTTGCTCCTGAAGCGGTCATCAACTAAAATAAGAGCTCCCCAATCATTTTTATGCCGAATACACCTACAAGAAAACAATGAAAAAAAAATTTTGAGTTAAATTACGTGATGAAACAAAATAAAAATTTTAGTTGGATAGCTAGAAGCATGGAGATGGTCCAAACATGTCAGTTACACATCCCTATAATGGAAACTGGATGATAGGAGAGGAACGTAAAAGTTACCCAGAAAGATAGTTATACTGGTTCCTGGTTTTTTTTCTTCAATTACTATCATTTGTATGGAATATAAAATATAATTTTTTAATAATTTCTAATTATTATTGTATTTAAATTAGTTTTATTTTAACCTCTAATAGAAACATGAAGTTTAGACTAGTTTTATGTTAAGTGAAATTTTGATTGACCAGAACGTTCCAGCAAAGGAATAATCTAAAGGAATCTTATGATTTAATATTGGTTAATCCTTTAATCACTACAAATCTTTTTTTTTTAATTTTAACCTTCTCTAAAAGATTATGGTAAAATATACTAGTATATTTTCCTGCCTTAAAAAATGTGCACTGAACATTAATTGATCTTTCTTTTCTGATGATTCAGCATTTTGCTAAACACAAGGTCTCAAAGTTATGCTCGTGAACTTCAATTCTCATTATGTAGCACTAATGCTACACATATAGATGTAGATGGTGTAGAAGACTGGGTTGCATCTGAACTGATCCCAAGATATATTTCAGAAGATTTTTTTATATATGTGTATGTTTGTTGTATTTTAATGTATATTTTTAATAAAGAAATATCTTCATCCGTTTAAGTATACTTTTTAAAAAATGCATAACTGATTTAACTTTGTAGACTATATCATATTGTTCCTTTTATATAAAAATAATTATTGAATCAAAGGATTTCTTCTATCTATCCTAAGATTTTCCCTTGGTTACTTTTCTTCTCTCCTTAATACTTGTTTCTCCCTTGTGGCTTTTCTATACAATCCTGCCACAATCTTCCTTCTCTACCTGCCACTCTTCTTCCCCTCTCTATAGCTATCTCCTGCGATCTAGTACTGTCAGGATTCACCTCTTATGGTTTCTTGCTTGGTCTGACCAACCAGTGTATTTCCTGCAGCTTCACTGAATGTTTTTTGAACTTGCCCTTCAAATGCTACATGTTAACAGACTTCCTATTACTGTCAAAGAAAAGATCATCCCTCCTAGTCACCCAGAGTCTCAAAATCAGTGTCATGCTCATTCCTTACTTGAACTCACTCTACATAACTAATCTGATGTGAAGTCTTATTGTTTCTGCCTTTACAATCTATTTCAAATATACTCCCTTTTCTCTAGTTCATTCAGCCACCACCCTGATGCAGGACCTCATCACCTTACCCCTGGACTCTTCAGTGCCTAGCCTGTTAGTTGGTTTCTCCCTCAAGTCTCTCCCTACCCTAAGTCATTCTCTACTTAACTGGCAAGGTGAGTTTCCTAGAACACACATCTGACCATGGCACCTCCCCCTTTCTCTGATTCAAATTTCAGTGGGTCCCTGTCACCTCCCAAATTAAATATAAAATGTTCTATTTAAAGCCTTTCAGAAATTGGCTCCTTCCTAGCTTTCTAATCTTACACTTTAGTTTTCTCCATGTACTCTAATGATCCACTGATAGTGGCCTTCTTGCTATTCTTCTCACAATAACCTTCCATTTCCCAGCTCTATACATTTTCACTAGCTATCCTCCCTGCCTTAAACTCTCTACCTTCTCATTTCTGTCTCCTGGTTTCCTTCAAGACTCTACTCCAATGCTAACTTCTGTGCAAAGCTTTTTTTGATCCCCATCTCCCTTACCACCACTCCCACCAAGGCCAATGCCTTCCCTGCTGAGTTTAGCTTCCATTTATGGAAGCTTTGTATATTGCTCTTCCCATTAGAATGTGAGTTCCTTGAGGGCAGAGACTATGGTTTTACCTTTCTTTGTATCCTCACTGTTGAGTATGGGGCCTGGCACATATGAAATGCTTAATTAATATTTGTTGACTGATTGGCTTTGGGTTTTTCCAGTAATATCAGCTTTCTAAAACTTTTCCTCTGCAAAATATGTATTAATTGGGTTCTGAGATATTAAGGTTTTATTGCATCTATATATTACAAGGTATGGAGCAATATGACTAATCTTCAAAATAGTCTTAGTGACAGAGAGCTCATCATTATATACCTTACATTCCATAACCCCACTTACCTGCCGAGTGCCTGGTTCAGGGCCCTATAAGCTTGAATTTCATACCACTGGTGGCCAGGTAAAAGACCTCTTAGTTTTGAATGTTGGTCATTGTATTTTCTCTTTAATTCAACCTAAAGGTAGGATGGCATATGTTGTTGTTATTATATTATTATTAATTTGTCAAAAAAAAAAGGATAAAACAGAAAAATAAACAAGTTAGTCTTTAAATTACCTAAGTATAATTTTGAGCTTTCTCAGGATGTTATTATGGGTGTGTATCTCATAATTTAGATCCAGTTATCTTTTTTGAATCACTTATAAATGTCAATCAGTGAAAAGTAATATATTAAACACTGCACTATATCTCAGGGATTCCAAAGTCTCCCAGTTCATCTGCCCTAAAAATATATCAACCCCTTAAAAGTGAACTTCACAAATCCCTTGTTACAAATATACCATTCTAAATGATATTTTTGTTTTATATATGCATATTTTGCCTCTATAAAGAGATTATATGTTCTCAGTAGTCAAAAACAATATCTTATTCTTTTTGCTCTTATCACAAAACATTTTGCACGAGTACGTGCTCAGAGTTTGTTGGATTGCATTCTAACTGTGAAATTGTGACTGGCAGTACTTTTTTTTTTTTTTTTGGTGAGGCAATCAGGGTTAAGTGACTTGCCCAGAGTCACACAGCTAGTAAGTGTCAAGTGTCTGGGGCCAGATTTGAACTCAAGTCCTCCTGAATCCAAGGCCAGAGCTCTATCCACCGTGCCACCGAGCTGCCCCGTGGCAGTACTTTTAAAACCAATAAATCATGTATCCTTTCATGAATTCTGATATAAGCAAATAAAAGGTGCCCTTAAAAAAAAACATGAAACATTTCTATTTTAACAATGTTATCTCTAAATATTCTCTTCAGTTGTATCTAAAAACAGTGACATAACTATGCTTTCTGAAAATTGGAGGGTTTTTTCCTTAATTTTAAATAAGAATAGGGGCAGCTAGGTGGCGCAGTGGATAGAGCACCGGCCTTGAAGTCAGGAGGACCTAAGTTCAAATTCGGCCTCAGACAAAACATTTGACACTTACTAGCTGTGTGACCCCAGGCAAGTCACTTAACCCCAACTGTCTATAAATAGATCGATAGATAGATAGACAGACAGACAGACAAATAAATAAATAAGAATAACATGGAGGTCTCTCTCCTCAAATTTACTAAACTTTGGTTACAACCCAGTGGTAGGAGTAATAATCATGACATTAGGTTTCAGAAGCATTTGGAAATTTACCATTTGTGCCATAAATTTCCTTAAAAGGCAAATGGAACTGTCCTCAAGACTAGATTAGTCCAGGGAAATTAAGTTTGAACAACAGCACAATGACATAATTTCCCTGTTATCTAAAACCCAGCACGTTGAGTAATCATATCAAACTTGATGGATTCCCTCCTGCTGTGAGTATCAACACACCCTTCAGGCAGGATGCTCCCCTGTGAGGAACTGGACCAAGAGGGAGGGAAAGGGAACTCTGTACAAATGAACCTGTTCTGTACTCTTGCTGAGTATCTTTTGCATGCTATTGCTGAGTAAACTTCCCTTGCTAATTATATGGGCTACAAGTATCTCATCTCATTCAAATCCCTAGTGAGAATAACGAGACTGGCCTGAGTCAGGCGCGGCTCCAAACACTTGACATAGCTGCCAGGACTGGTCTAGAATGACCTCATAGCAGCAGTGGGGAAAGAATGATGTGCAGGCTTCAATTGGGCCCAGTCCTCAAGGTCAAGCTAGGAGATATAAACTGTTCATTTCAGGGGCTTATTAGCCCCCAATGGGGGAAGATCATGTAAATTAAAATTAAACTAAATCATTAGATTCTTACAACCCCAAGAAAACAGGAGCTGAACTTTTTACAAGGCGTAAGATATTATGCAACTTTTTCTCTCAATTTTTATTGGCTACAGAAGATGGGTTTTCCAAGCTTGCTCTGCAAGCTGCCCTGACCTTCAGCAAGACCAGCAAGATGCCAATTATAAGCCTCCATAACAAATATCTGCTTGGTCTGTAAACATTGTGGGGTCACTGTGGCACCCAGGCAGACTGAACCCAGATGAAAAATCAACCACATTTTAGAGAGATGTGTTTTTCCACACTAGAATAACAAGGCAATCTAATAAGAAAAAGGCAAAGAATGCAACTGCAATAAATCATTGGTAATATATACACTGAATGCTTTGAGGGAAGGAGAAGTGATTTAAACAAAGACACTATGAAATTCAAGCAGAATTGGTTTCACTACTGGGAGGAAAAGTAATACCTGGTCAGAACATATGGCATGCTACATTTCTGAAATGGACACAGGCATCATCTAAATATTGCACAGCACTCTACTTCAATTTTCAATTCAACAAACATTTATTAAGCACTTACTATGTGCCAAGTACTGTGTTCCTTCCAGAAAGGTATGACTCTCAGCTACCAAAATAACTTGTGATAGAGGGTTTTGTGGACTATGAAACATACATAGCCATAGTCATAAAGAAATACAGAATTGTGGCTTTTCCACCTGACTTACAGACCATTCCATTTAAACTGATGAAAAATTCTATATACATTAAGAAACCTCAATACAATATTGATTTAACTGTTAGTAGTAAGTAGTAATTCACAGTACATTATAGTAAGTCACAATCTATGAGCCTGTGTTGGATTTGCAGGAGTGATAATTTAATTCAGGTCTTCATGGCATATTTGGAAAGTCATCAAATATAATGTCTGAATTACAAATTGAAATAATTTTATAAAATAAATTCATTCAGTTTTCACATGTTATCCATGCAATATAGTACTGAACTCTAGGGGAAAGTTACAGAACAGGTTACTATAACTGTTTTCCTTACTTAAATAAAATAGCAAAACCAAACTTTTTAAGATGCAAGATCAAACACAAATATGATTAATTTGTAGTTAGAATTTAAATATTAACAGACAAAATTAGTAATGTAAGGAGTAACCTATCTCGTTGTTGTTTGGTGTTGTTAAGTTGATTTCAGCCATGTCTCACTCTCCATGAGCCCACTGGAGTTTTCTTGGCAAAGATACTGGAGTGGTTTGCCATTTCCTTCCCCAGCTCATTTTACAGATGAGGAAAATGAGGCAAAATGGTGAGTTGCCCAGGGTCACACAGCTAGTAAGTGTCTGAAGCCACATCTGAACTCCTGTCTTCTGACTCCAGACCCAGTAGCCTATCTACTGCAGCACCTAGCTGCTCCAAATCTATCTAGTACTCTCAACATTTAAAAAAAATGTTTGGATGGATCAAACCCAAGTGACAAAATTTGCAAGGCAGGGGTGCTCATTTAAACTCCATTCAATAGAATTTGTTTTAAATGAACCACCAGAGAGGTATGAAATAGTTCCCAGGATTCTATCAATGAGCAAGAAAATTAAGATGTAAGCTACTTTACCTGCAAAAAACTTACAGTCTACTGGTGAGATAAAAAATACATGAAATCAGTGAGCAAAATAGCAATGAAGACTAAATATGTAGGTGCCAAGGGAGTACTTATATAGACTTATTAAAAAAATATTCTGAGTGGTCATGGGATTGGTCTGTTCCTGGAGGGGATCAAATTTGCTGGGTCTTAGAGTAGGGATGGATATGAAGTAGCAGGAATAAAAGAACATCTGTTAAGTCAGTGACAGCAAGGGATTCAGATTATAACTAGACAAGTTGACATCCACAAATGGTACACAAAACATTGTCACATGTTACTACAAATATGGTGATAAGTACTGTTGAAGTAAACAAAGACATCGTGTCTCACAAAGTTAGTTTTCAGTGGCAAAAGAAGGTGCTTAATAAATGTTTGTTAAGTGGAACTGAGAGAAGTGATTGTGTGGCTAAGTGGACTGTCATAACTAGGTGGTGCATAGTACAGAGAGTGCTGAACCTGGAGTCAGGCAGACCTGAGTTCAAATCTGGTCTCAGCCACTTACTAGTTGTGTGTCCCTGGGCAAGTCACTTAACCTTCATGTGTCTCAGTTTCCTCTCCATCTGTAAAATGGTGACAATAATAGCACCTATCACAACCGGCTATTGTGAGGATCAAGTGAGAAAGCATATGTAAAGCACTTTGCAAACCTTAAAATGCTATATAAGTGCTAGGTATAATTATAATTATTATTGTTATATATGGGAAGGTCAAGGAGTGAAGGTATTAAATCCAGGGCAAGTCAGTGAACAATGATGTGCCTTACTTTCCCTATTTGCAAAATAGCAAGAATTATTATTCCTGCAAATAAGAATCATAAAGGTGGCAAAGTTTAATCAGAAAATTTCCAATTTCAAAATGCCACATAAAATATTAATTAATAATAACAAATGACAACTCAACTATGTTTACCTATCACAAGCAACCTCCGAGTAAAACCACTCTGGCTGCCTGAAGATTCAGACTTCAGTTTCTTGGCCATTGTTCTGACCCCCGCAAACATGGGCCCCAAGAAGAGTCTCTTTTTTGTTATGGTCAGCTATACAAGAGCCTCCCTTGCTAATCACACTGGATCATTCCAGAATATAAGACTAATTACAGATGCAAAACAACTACTTCCTTGCAAAATGTTTCCAGTTTTGATGTGGATCACTGGAATCAATTGTTTTTAACAAGACACAAAAACTACACAAGAAAAATAGAAAGGCATGTCAATGTTCTTTGGTAGGGTGTTAACCTTTTTAAACTGACAACCAAAAGAACATGCTTCAAGAGAGAAAACAGAAGACTCCTAACTGCTTCTGACAGATAACTTTCAACTTGAATTTGGGTAAGAAATTTTATATTATGTTCTTATGCCCTTTAAAAACAGCCTGTCAAATTTACCGATTCAAACTTTGTAACCAGAAAATAAATTTACTTTGATTTCATAGATCTAAAATTTGTTTAGTCACAAGTCAACTGTTCAATGAAGAAACATGTCCCCTTAAGAGCTAAAGAGGAGCTTCCATGTAATACCGTGCAAATGCTAAATGATATGGTGCTTTAGAAAACAAAAAACTCTAACTACACATTAGAGAATGTACATAAATGAGTATTCAGCAATAAGAACAATGAGGGAATGTTAAAAGATTA